AACTACCTCTGAGAAAACTTAAGTGGATATCTGTCTCCATGTAATTTTGAGACTGGAAATAATTCTCTTGGGAAAGTGATAGCATTTCTATATTTTTAATAGGCCCTATAGAGAGTAATGGATGCTTTGTTTACAAATTATTAATATGGATTAAATACCTGAGGGTGCAGTTTAAAACTTCTTTATTATGTCAGTTGAAATGTATCAGTTTAAAATGGTTAATGAAGTCATATTAAATTTTCTGAGAAAAATTCTCTATAGAGTAAAACACTGTAGAGAAATACTTCTTCTCCTTCTCCTTGGCCACCTAGTTGGCTTTTGTGTCTAAGAAAGGACAAGAATGTGAGTAATTATGCTAGTAGTCTGGCCCTTTAACAGCTACATCTTACTAGGTGACAAATAAAGACACATTTAAAGATCAGCAATCAAGCTTGGAAAAGAAAGAAAGTAAACATCATAGCAGCAGAACATGTTACATGTTGAGAGATCAGAATATGCAACACAACTACATCACTGAATAAAATACTAGGACATTGTCTATTTTCCCAGGTGCTGCTGCATCTCAGATATCTAAAATTGCATCAAAAATCTAATGAAAGAAATTAACACTAGAACACTTCTCATATATGGAGACATGGCATATGTAATGTGTATCACTCTATATTGAAATCTTAAGGGATGATATACCTCCATATACTATTCAAAAACACAGAATACTCCTATTCTTTTTAAGTACAATGACACTTCAGCAAAATACTATAATCAGACTACTCATTAGATACTAAGCAGCCCCAAGCTCTATGCCTCTCTTTTTCTCTCCATTTTCTCTGGACTTTACTGATATATTAATTTATTGATTTCCTGCCTTTATTATTTTTATAAAACTAAGTTGTATCAAAATGCATTCAGTTTTATAAATACATAGTGAATGAATTGAATGAATCTTGAAATTACCTATTGAACTGCAGGAAAATGCAGATTTGGGTAGATTTGCTTTGGGAGGAAGGAAGGAAGGAAAGGAGTCCCTGTGGATTTTACTCTGCTAATCATTCCAACTATAGGGGAAGTGCAATGGAAGCTCCTGGGTGCCATAATATTACATGAATTCAAACACATTTTTTTTGCAAAAGAGATCATGGCCCCCGGAAGCTTCCATTCGGGGGTAGGGGAGTGTTTGCTTCATTTGCATGCCTATGTGACAAAGTATGGAATTGGAATCGGCCAGGCGCAGGAACCAATGCCGTCTCTGGCCCAGGTGTGCTGCTTGTTGGCCTCAGTCTGAGGGCAAGAACGAAGTCCTCAACTGAGTAGGGAGCCATCGCAGGATGAGTCCCCTTGCACCTGCATCCAACCTGCTAATGGTGGTGGTGGCAACAACCACCTTAGCAGCCATGATTTCTCCTCCCCAGACAGCCATTCATCCGCCCTACATACTCCTTGCCTGACCTGCCAGTGGCAAAAATCCTGACACACTCTTCTCCTTGTCATTCTCTCCACTAAGCAGCAGCAACTGCTTGAATTTCTCTACTTCATCTGAATGGGAGAAACTGGAGGCGCAGAGCAGGATTGCTCTCAAGTAGATGTGGGTGTGCTGCTCGTTTTGTGTGCCAGCCTTACTGAGAGCAATCCCGCTCTGCGCTTTCACTTCTTTCCAGTCAGATGGAGTGGAGAAGTTCGAGCTGCTGCCACTCAAACACTTTTTATCCGAAGAGAGACTTGAGAGAGATTGGAAAGCCTATGTGATTGCCAATGGGGCACTTAGAAATGGAGTGTTTCTTTCTATTTCTGAAGCCCTTCATTGGCAGTCACACAGACCTTCCAATCACTCTCAAGTTTCCCTTCAGAAAAAAAGTGACTGCACACAGAGCTTCAAAATGCAGCGAATCCCTGCATTTTGAATAGCCACACAGGTGCGCAAACACTTTTTATGCTGTTGCCTTGGTAGTGGAGCATCTGGTTAGAATGGGTGTTTTTTCTGTAGACTTGTGTTTTTAGTTTGCTAATGTGCTTTCTGTTGATTAGGATGTCCAGGGAGGATAGCAAATTGTCATTTTCTTCTTCTTTTAGTAAACTGGATTCCTTTAAAAATGTTATTGATGGTTCTGTAGGTGTTCTCTAATTGGTCCTTTTTTATTATGGTGAAGGTGTCATCTGATCCATATTTTGGGTTGTATTTGTTGAAGTGCAATGGATTCTAGATGTTGCATGACAACCTTCAGGTGCTCCACTACCAAAATAACAACCCAATATGCCACAAGAGAAACTGCATAAGGACTTTATTTTGATGAGCCCAAACATACTGCAACAACTCAGAACAGCAGAAAAGAGAATAGGGCATTTATATAACATATTCCAACAAAATGGATATCTGCACAACTTTATCAAAAAATCTCTGACCACTCAATACAGCACAACCAACACAAACCCTAAAAAGAATTACACTGCCAAACATCAAGAATGCAGACTACTACAACCACATGGAGTCAGCATAGCACACAAGCCAACTAAAGCCCTTCAAAACATCCTAAGCAGATGAAAGACCCAACAACCCCAGAAGAAAAAAACAGGAGTCATTTGTAACATACAATATAAGAACTGTAACAACCACTATGTAGGACAAACAAGCAGAAGATTGACAGAACTCATCCACAAATACCAACTAGCAGTCAGAAGACAAGATGAAAATTCTTTAATATCAAAACATATAGACAGATTTAACCATAGTTTCAATTGGAAAAATCTGACCATCCTAGACTAAACCATGTCCAAAAGCACCAGGGAATTTCTAGAAGCCTGGCATTCTGACAGATCAGTCAATCAATATTCACATAGATATTAACAACATCTATAGACTATACAAAAGAGATTATCACTCAGCATTCCTCCATGAGCAATCAGCACCCAGATCAGCATAGATTAACTCCAAGGTTAACATCAGACCAATAATCAAGCAAACTATACCCCAATCAAGAAACTGCAAAGAAGCCAACAGCAAACAGCCCAATTAAAGAATATCTAAGACTACTTCAACCAAGACTGACAGGCAAGCCACTAGAATATAAACTGACAGCAAACAGCACTCCTTAATAGCACTGATGATGAAACCTAATTTGGGTAATGAAATGTCTGGAAGAAAATAAGCAAGCTCAGAGAGCACCAAGAACCCTGAAATGTTGTCCATAAATATTAGATGCTTAGTAAAGCTAAAAAATTATGTTTCCATTACAGTTATGCTGCTAGCCGAATTACTTGTAGCCCCTTGTAACTTTATGATCCTACGAATGTATCCAGCAATGTTGGACATTAATTTCAGACCACAGACATAAAAGCAGATGTATCTTGATATAGTAACTAAATATCAGAATGCGTTTGATAATTCCTTTTCTAAATAACCAATTGTATTTATTTAATTTTATTAACTACAATAGGTTTAAACTGCAACTCACTGGTTAGTTGTTTTCACAAGTCCTTAGTTCTAGGCTGGTTTTCTTCTTGATTAGTTTCCATCTATTATTTGCCTTCTGATGCTTTGGAAAATAGGTTGATCCTTTCTTCTCTGTGGCAACCCATCAAATATTGGAACACTGCTATCCTGTCACCACCCCTAGTCCTTTTCACTAAGCTAGATATACCCAATTCCCACAAACATTTGTCATATGTTTTAGCCTCCAGCCCCCTAATCATCTATGTTTACCATCCATTTAGACCAGATGGTCCCCCTGTTTGGGTTTATAGAACAGTGTCCAAAAGCAGAGCCTTCTCAGAGACAGCACCCCCATTATAAAACTTTCTCCCAAGGAAAATATGAACAGTGCAACCCTCACCCATTTAGAGGCAACTCCAAACACAGCCAGGCATATGTAAAACAACAATGTTCAGCCAGGCATATGTAAAACAACAACCTAAATAGCATAGGAAAATGCTAGTTGCAAAACATTTTGGGAATATCTGCTCATTCAAACAAATTGGATAAAGTGGGCATGCTCCGTGACTAATTACTTAAACGTTGCCATATAGAAGTGCTTGGGAGACCTGCATTTTTCATAGCCACCCCTGCCCTGTAAAGCCTTCCACATGTCATCCATCTGGCTCCATGCTCTTAACATTGTGGAAATCCCTGAAGATATGCTTTCTTGGCAGTCATTAAGATACTGAGGACGGAGCTTAACTGCATATTATGAATTGGAGGCATGAAACTGATAGTTGTACTATTTGTACTTTTTAATATTGTTGTTATCTAGCCAGGGATATTAAACCCCAATACACATGTCAGCTGTATTCACTTGCATACCTCTATGATCTGCAACGTCTCCCCAAAAAACACAAATAAATTTTATTGCTGATATTGCCCTTGTAAAAAAATACTGACAGCAAACTGAAGAGGAGAAAACTAAAACAGGAACCTGTGGCCCAATAAACCAGAATACTTTTATCTGCTGACCATATCTCAACTATAGTATAGCTCTATCCTGGCCTAGTTGGAAGCAGTAAATAATAATAATGTCAAAGGAATGTATTTATCCCAGGGATTCCAACATAAAAGCTGTAATTTTCACTGTCTCTTAATTTTTCTGTAGTCATGTCTTTCATATGCTTTGGGCCAAAAGTATACAAGCTCTGGCTCTGCTTTGTTGGGATGCTCAGCTTTGTTGGGCATGCAGTATACTGTATACTGTATAAACTGTAAATCCATTTTCAAAAGGATGTAGTTGTTTTAGATGTCATATTATGACCTCTGTATGTGTGTATGCCAGAAAATGAGCAGAGTGGACATATAAAACTAGGAAGGAAGGAAGTAAACAAGTAAACAAGTTAGTTAGTAAGTATATAAATAAGTAAGTAAGTATACAAGAAGGAAGGAAGGAAGGAAGGAAGGAAGGAAGGAAGGAAGGAAGGAAGGAAGGAAGGAAGGAACAATATAAATCATGAATATTCAAGGCTATGTCACTTAAATATCTTCTAGTTATGTTGATGATGCAGCCACTGGAAAACTGAAATCTTCAAGTCTTATGGCTGATTAAGTGCTCTCTTTTGTTCAGTTCAGGTCTCAATAGAATAATGAAGCACTTGGGAGCAAAGATACAACCCAGCAATCCAGAACTGGAGGTTAAGATAGAGAAGATCTCCACAGTGACCATAAATTTTCCCTTTGTGCTCAGGTAAGTTGGAACAAAAGTCAGCCACACATTGCAAAACACCAGCATGCTGAAAGTGATGAATTTGGCTTCATTAAAAGTGTCTGGCAACCTCCGAGCAAAGAAAGCGACAGCAAAGCTGGCAATGGCCAGCAAGCCCAGATAGCACAAAACAAGATAAAACATGATGGGTGATGACTCATTACACTGAAGAACAATTTCTTCACTCATCAAAAGCATATCACTATCTGGGAAGGGGGGAGATGTTGCAAGCCACACAACACATATTCCTACTTGAGGAAAAGTACAAGAAAAAACAATGAAGATGGCCAGTTTTCTCCCTGTCCACTTCTTCATCTTGGATCCTGGATGCTTGGCCATGAAAGCCAGAACTACAATAAGAGTTTTTGTCAACACACAAGAAACTGCCATTGTGAAAATGACTCCAAAGGTAGTTTGGCGAAGAAGACATGTTATTGTTAGTGGTCTTCCAAGGAAGAGCAATGAGCAAAGAAAACAGAGCAGAAGTGAGATGAGCAGAAGGTAGGAAAGGTCACGATTGTTGGCTTTCACTATGTGAGTATTGTGATGCTTCCAAAATGTCTTCAAGATCTGAACAGTAATAGCAGATAGCAAGACTGTACAAGTGGCTATGCTGATACCTAATGGTTCTCCATAGGACAAGTAGCTAATGACCTTTGGAATGCATCTGTTCTGTTCCTTGTTTGCATACTGATCCTGTGGGCATTTAAAGCAATTGTCCATATCTGCAAAAGTTCACAAAATTAAAAGGAAAAAATAATAATCTGTGAATTTTTAATTCTTTCTGTTAGCATATAGTAGCAGTGGAATCGATAATGACATTGTGTGTTTGTGTATATATACATGTGTGTGTGTCTGTGTGTGTGTGTGTGTGTGTATGGCCTAATAGTTGGCATATTATTTAGAATGAACAAAGAACATCACTTTTTATATGACAAGCTGTCTCTGGTTGATCTGACTTAACATTCAATCCTATAAATTGTGCCATGAACAAAAACGACAAATTTAGGCAGTGTTCTGTGCAGCATATAGTAATTTTCTTTAGTGTTTACATTATTTCCTGATCTGCAAGGACACCAAGCAATTATAAAGAATAATTTAAAAAATATTCTAAAGTACAAGGATAATAAAGCAACTCATGATATTTATAAATAATACTGTGAAAGATAACCATTGCCGAGGAGAATGAAAAGAATGATTGATGCCTCCTGGGCAGTATTGTTCCAGCAGATGAAAAACTAGGATACAAGCTAGTGGTTGAAAGTGTCCTGGCCAAAATTGCCCCATTTTGCTTGTGCTGAAGCTTATTTCTAGGTGAGGAGAACATCACTGGAACTAATATTATTCAGTTAACAATTAATATAAATAGATTTTCTAGTAATCCTAATTAAGAAGTGGTGGAAGCATGTTAAACAACTCTTTGGCTTTACATACCATTTTCTCAACACAGATGTAGGACACTGTATAGACAAGCAGGGTGTGGTTATTCATATTATAAGAAAGGGAGAAAACAGCTACAGAAAAATATGTTGCATTAGTTTTTTTGTTATAGCCTTTTGTTGTAGTTGTTTTTGTTCAACCTGTTTATTTTTAGCTATCACCTCATCCCTTTTGTTTGACAAGGCACACAACAACCACTTTCTCTCTTTTTTTTCTGATAACTAGGCTGACAACTGGCATTATACAGAGATAAGTTATGTCTGTGGCAAGACAACATGAAGAGATACATCCTCAAAATTTTGGTCTCAGAAACATTAATGTTTGGGTTATATATTGGTATGCAATGAATTTTTGTAGTTTCTAAGTAGAATGACTCCTATTGAAACTTTTTTCAAGACAAAATAAAAAAAATCCTTAATATTAAATAATTGAGTTAGCTGAGATTTTTACAGCTTGGGGAAATGTGAATTGTGTGAAAGGAAGATAATCCTGTTGTTTAATCTTTTACCTATTCACCTCACCTGTTTTGTTAGATATCCACTCTTTTGGACAAGGCACACAATTGTAACAACAAAATGGTTCTCCCTCCTTTGTTTCCGTCTGATAACCAGGCTGACAATGGGCATTACACACAGAGATAGGTTGTGACTGTTGGCAAGGTAAGATGAAAAAGATCATCCTCAAAGATATGGGCTCAGAAACATTAATGCTTGGGTTATAACATGCCAAGCAGTGATACTTTTTTAGTTTCTAAATAGAATGATTCATACTTAAACTTTTTTCAAGATGAAATAAAAAAAAATATTCCTTAATATTAAATAACTGAGTTAGCTGAGATTTCTACAGCTTGGAGAAAAGTATCATTCTTCTGAGAGGGAGATAATTCTGTTTCACAATAACAATCACATAATTATCAGCATTTCCAAATGGTGTTTTTACACAATGGGAATTCCTCATTTTGGAATTCTGAATAATCAATGGAAATGTCTTAGTGTGTTAGAAAGTATCACATTGCTTATGGTTACTACTGACCAAGGAAAAACTTAAGGGTACTTGATTAAATATTCTGAACCCTTTTCTTGAGTTCCTCAATTGGCTGCACATTGAGGGAGAAGTAGAGAATTTTTATCACGAATATATGACATTTTCTGGAAGAACTGATAAAGGACTCCTCAGAGGAAGGAAATGCATTTCAATCTACATTCACTGGAATTAATGGCATGAAGATCAATGAAAAAAATCAGGTAGCCAAAGTCTTTCAACAAATGGTAATAAGATGGTTTTTTTTAACCTGGTTAAATCCATGATGCCATACTATGTCTTCTTCCTTAATGGTAAGTTGTTTGTGTGGAGGTGCCCATGGATCCATCCTTCCAACTTTCACTCCAATGAAAGATTGGTTTGGGAATGTGACCCAATTTATGATGTCAAATCCTGCAAGCAGAGAGCTTTCCTGATCAAAGGAAATTTTATCTCCAGCACTGTTGTTAAATGATAATGTTTTCAACATATGAGAAAGCTGAAATGGAAAACAAAAAGTGATTGAGGTTTTGCTCGATCTGGTTTTGGATTCAGGGACATTGTAAAGGAGGCTCACAATGACAGCAAAATTTGATTTCAGTTATCATTATATCTCATATATACAATTGTATATACTGTTATATCTCACAGTTTGATGTTCTGCTTTATATAGTATATTATATAGTACGCTATATACTATTGTATCTCACAGATTGATGTTCTTCTTTCTTTGTTAACTGAAATTTCAATCATTTTATGAAAATGAGTTCAGGTTGGCAGTTAATGTTTAATCAACCAGAATACTACGTTCATTACCTATAAATGTAACTATAGATGATCATTAATTCTACTGGGTAGGACAGATAGATACTGCAAATCTGCCATATGAAAAGTACCAGACATCATTTTCTATGCCACAATTTTTGAGCCATTACCTGCCAGAGCTGCTGATTCAGATGTTTTCTTCTCTCCCTTCCATCCATTGCCTTGTGTCTGAAGACTGATGCATAGATGGCATGTAAGGCATGAGTCACAGCATAAACAGCATTGTAGACACTATAGCTTTGGCCTGAGATCCTCATTGGAAAGACATGCTCAGGAAGGTTCTCCAGTTTTTCTATCCCTGTGCAGGCATCCCTATTCTTAGGATGGAACCTAGAGTCCTGGAATGGACAGTCAAATGTGCTAGCCCAGAAATCTGTGATGAAACCATCCCTTTCTGAATTCAAAGGGTTTCTCTTCTGGAGAAATTGCTGGAATCCCTGGATTTCCTCAGAATGAACTGTAAAGGAAAATGAACCGTGGAATTCAAGTATAGGCATCTCAGAAGCTGCAATGAAGTTTTTCAGCTCCATCCCAGCAGTCATAAGCCAAACATGGCCTTTAGGTTTTTCTATCAGACACTCAAATTTGGAAGAGAGCAACCATCTCAAAAAGATCATGGAACGCATGTCTCCACTGAAAACCAGCACATTGGTTTCACTGTTCATGACTTCATAGTAAGATTGTTCTAAACATTTCATGTGGTTTTCACCATGACACAAAATGAATGTATATATGTTTGCAGTACAGATACCATTTTTTGCAAATTCTGGAATGATGACGTTCATGACACTCTCTAAATGCATCCCATTAGCAATAAAGAATCCAATCCAATTCCAGTTGAAATGCTGGATTAACTTCATAATCCCTCTATACTGAAAAAGTACATTTGGAATCATTTGAAAGTAGTAAAGTAGATGGTCCTTTTCTGTTACCACCATTCCAGAGCCATATATGAACTGAAAAGACATTCAGATAAGAAATAAGGTTTCTCGGAGCTTCCGGTGGCGAGGCGTCGCCGAAGAAGGCTTTTTCTTCAGCCTCCAGCCCGGGACTGCGTCAAAGCCGTCAAAACAGCATGGATCAGCTATTTTGCGGCTCGGAACTTTCTCCCCGGGCGAAGGGGAGAAAGTGAGTTTGGTCTGGATAGGGGCTGAGTTCCCTAGTCCCCCCAGGAGCGATCCTGGGGGGATGAAGGTGAGAACTCCCCCGGAGTCCGGACCTCTTCTCCGCAGCTCGGTGTGTCTTCGTTCCTGGAGCGAAGCCAGACGTCGCCGCCACTGCTGCTACATTGTATCTGCTTGTGAGTAACTTTTGAAACAGACGGAACCTGAAAGGGGATTTTTATCTCAGTTAAAATGTGACTTTAACTCGAAGATTTTATTGGGATTTTTGTTACTTGCTATAAAGTGACAAGAAAATGGCCACGGAAGCATTCCTTCTTTTTAACAAAAGGAAAACTTTCTCTTCTTTCCGGTTGTGGATGTACTTTAAAGGATTTTATTTTTTTTTTATTTAAAGTCAAGCTTTTTAAGTTTATACTTGCTGTGCTGATTTTTAAAAAAACAATTTGGCAGAATGGCTTCAAAACGTACTGTTCCTGCATTGCCTAAAACAGCTATTTCTTCTCCTGTGGTGCAAATTCAACAACAAAAACCTAGATCTCCCCCACCAACACCTCCTCCCTCCATTACACTTAAAGATTTACAAGAGGCTTTAGCCAAGTCCTCATTGCAGACTCTGAAACAAACAGAAGAACTTTTGGATAAGAAAAATCAGGAACTTTGTGAAAATTTATCACATATTTTTCAAGGACTTGCAGCTCATATTGACCATGTAGAGGGACGAGTGGATGAATTAGTGGAGAAAATGGAAGGAACGGAGGATTCTGAACTTTTCCATCTCCTTCCTCACCTTTGAAAAGTTTTACTGTACCATTACAATGTTATATTTGTTAACCTTAAACGAGACTCTTAGTCCCCAGAATTTCTCCTGGGTGTTCTCTTTGAATTTCTCCTTCAACGATGTCGAAACGCCCTGGTATTGAATTGCAACCCAGAGGTGATTTGTGGAGAAATAGAAAAATTTTTTAGAGTGAACTCCTGGGTTGCACGTCAAAGAAACCTACCTAGAGATGTGGTTGTGTATTTTACCACAAGAGTACGTCGTAATGAAATTATACAGCTCTTTTATCAGCAGAGATTTCAAATTGCCGCACAAGATATTATACTTTTAAAAGAAATACCTTCTAAGATTTTAAGAAGAAGAAAGAACTTTACATTTTTGACTCAGGAGTTAAAGAAGTGGCAGATACCTTTCAGATGGAAAATTCCTTTGGGTATTATATTAAATTTCGCAGGGACCAGACACAGATTAAACTCTGTTCAAAAAGCCAAAGATTTTTATTTGTCGGTCCTGAAAGCTGATATGTCACCATCATCGACACCTAAAGCACAGGAAGATCTGATGGAGCAACTTGTTGTGGAATTGCCTGGGGCCATGTCATTATCGTTAGAAGATCCTCAGAAGGAGCAAAGGATGACCCGTGCTGCTTATAGGCGTAAAGAGAGAGAGAGCAACAAAAAGAAACAGTCTCTATAACATATCCACAGCCTTCGGAGCCAGTGGGAGGGGCGAGGCCAAAGAGATCTGCAACGACAGACATGCAGGGAATGCTTAGCAAGCTTTGTAAGCCAAAAGATGGATAAACGCTGGAAGTGAGACTTTATTATGGAAATGGAAGAAATTAGTTTATTATATGTTTGTAAAGAACTGATAGGTTTTTTTTTAAAGATGTAAAAAATTAAGATTGGGATTTTATTTTATTTTTCCAGCTGTGAAGCAGGAAGTATTGACAAGATTTTATTGAAAGTATAGATTGGAGAGGGAAGAAAGTGAAGGGAAAATTTAAGTGTAAAATGTAAGAAAAAATTATGTAAAGTTTAAATGTTGAAGGTGGATAGATTATATTTAGAGAAAGTATGGAGTGATTAAATGTTATATAGTTTTTGAGTAGATATATTGGTTTTTAATTAATTTTAATGAATTTAATTGCCTTATTAGAGTTAAAGTAGGTATATATTGATAGCATTATATTTGTTTAGTTAAATTGTAATTTAGATTTGGAATGATGTGTTTCAATCCTGTATTTGGTTCCAGGAAGCTCAGGGGGGGGAGAATGGGATTAGGGGTATTAAAAAAATTGATGTATTCATATGCTATAGGTAAATAATAATTGTACTGATAAGAGGAGATGGTATCGGCTGGTATCCCAAATTGCACTCGAGGAGGTGGTCTGGAAGAGGGGGGATGTAGAGTGGGAAGGAGGAAGGAGGAGAGGTTGTGGGCTAGAGGCAGGAAGGAAAGGAAAGTGGATGAGGGCGGAGGCAAGGCGGGGACTGCCGAGCGTTTCCGATAAGGTATTGATTTGGATTGTTTTTTCTGTTTGTGTATATAAATGCATCATATTACTTATTGTTTAATTATAAAAATTAATAAAATTTTATTTAAATAAATAAATAAAAAAAATAAATAAAGAAATAAGGTTTCTCAAAAGGTCAGTAATAGTAATAAAAGACTTCCTTACTGAAACCTTTTGCACTTAAGAGATTTTTATCTTTCCATCCAAAAGTCTTTTATTGGTTTTTTAAAAAAAATTCTATATTTTAATGAATCATGTTTCAAGTGAAAAACAATGAAATTCATTCTGATTTTGCAATAATATAGGAGACAGTGAAATATAATTCTGAGCAAAATATAGATGACACTAAGCTGGCAGGAATAGCTAACACCTTAGAAGGCAAGCACAGAATCCATAAAAGATCTTGATAGACTTGAACTATGGGCCCTATCCAATAAAATGATATTTAATGTGGTTTTACACTTAGCCAGGGGAAAAAAAGGTACAAGTATATATTAGGGAAAACCTGGCACAAAAACAGTAATTGTGAGAGGCATAGAATTAAAATCACATGAAGTATTAGTACTGCTTTATAAACCCTTAGTAAGGCCACCTCTGGAATATTGCATCCAGTTTTGGGCAGCACATTAAAAAAAAGATGTTGAGACTGGAAAAAGTGCAAAGAGCAACTAAGATGACTAAGAACAAAACATATAAAGAACAGTTGCAGGATTTTGGAATGGCCAGTCTAGAGAAAAGAAGGACTAGTGGGGGGGGGGGGGACATGATAGCAGTATTCCAATATTTGAGAGGCTGCCACAAGGAGGAGGGGGTCAACTCATTTTCAAAAGCACCAGAAGGCAAGACAAGAAACAACGGATAGAAACTAATCAAGGAGAGAAGGAACCTGGAATTAAGGAGCAACTTCCTAACAGTGAGAACAATTAACCACTACAACAGCTTGCCTTCTCTTGATGTTTTTCAGAAGGGACTGGAGAGTCACATGTCTGAAATGATATAGGTCTCCTGCTTGAGCATGGGGCTGGACTAGAAGACCTCCAAGGTCCCTTCCAGCTCCATTCTGATTCTAATTCTAGGGTAGAAGTATCCTAAATATAGTAAAGCAAAGTAAAACAATGTATTCCTGGCATTAAAAATAACTGCAATTTTAAATAATTATTACTGATTATTAAGAATGAATTTGAAAATATTTTAAATATATTTCAGTCCTAATATTACTTCACCAGTTCCAAATTTTGATGGTCATCACTGTGACATAGTTGTTTTGGAACTGATAATGAAATTAAATAAAAACCAAGAACTACCTTTTGGAATATTCTATAACAGCTGAAAATATGGCAAACATTGATGTTATATATGTTATACTTTACACTCAGAAAAGGAAGTCTACATTGATTCCCAGAATGGAGGAATGGTTACAAAAGCTAATGGAGCTAGCAAAGATGGCTAAACTGACAGTACTTATTAAAGAAAAGAATATGAACACTTTTACTGCCACGTGGAGACCACTTTTAGTATTTGTGCTTGAAGTAAAAAAAAAGAAAATTTGATTTTGGGTTTTACCAATTAGAAGTGGCTAGCTTATATTATATTGTAAAAGTCAAAAGTTGAAGTATGAAGTTGATAATCAACTTTGCTGCACCAAGAGAAGTCAGAAGTCAAAGCCCTTTTTATTTTATTTTTTTCTTCCAACCTCACTTCCCTATTCCCTTTTCCCTTCCCCATCTTTTCCACGATTTATTTTTGTATTTTCATTGTATCATATACTGTAAACTAATAAAACTTTAAATGATCTAAAAGCTGAAAATATGGCTTTGATGGGAACATACAAAATATACAGATAGAACCTGGCTATATCCTGTATTAGAGTTTGGTGGTCCTTTGGTGGTCCAACCATTTCCCCATCCTCCTCCTCCTCCTCCTCCTCCTCCTCCTCCTCCTCCTCCTCCTTTTGTCAATAGCAGCTATGGGAAAGATGTGCAGACATGAAAAAGCTCTCATGCATTTTCTATCTTCTTTTCCACATATACATATTCTACCTGTGGAATCTTGTAAATGCCCAAAATATTGGGCTTTCGATGGGAGCGTTCAGAAGTCAGATCTTCAGTAACTGCCAATAGAGTGTCCTGGATGCCACACTTGTAGTTGGGCACAAGGTTGTTTTTTGAAGAGAGAAATTGTATTGCAGCATGATAGGTCCATTTGGAACTTAAATAGCTGTCATAAATATTGAATCCCAGTGTAATGTTCGGCAGTATCCTGAGGTTTTCATTGATTTCCTTTACAGCAAAGGCCAGAGCTAAGATTTGCTGGTAATTCTCAGTCACTACTCTGCACAAAGGTTTTCATTACATGCTGTTAGCATTGGACATATTTTCAGTTCACCATTTTATTGTCTGCTTCTTGGTAATTTTCATTGTAATGTTTCTTGTTCATTAAAATATTTTAGATATTGATTAAGAAGGAAATGTTTTTTTAATAGGCAGTACACTTGAGAATGACATTTCCTAATTTGGGGTCCTTGGTTCTCTTTGAGCTTGCTTGTTTTTTTGCAAACATTTCATTACCCAAACTAGTAACATCATGAATGCTGGTGATGTTACCTAGTTGGGTAATGAAATGTCTGCAAGAAAATAAGCAAGCTCAGAGAGTAACAAAGACCCCTCATTTCAACTCTGAGCTACAAATATACTCCTTTATTTCCTAATGTTTGACCAGTTATCTAATCCAGTAAGTTTTGTTAGCCCAGGTTTGCTTAAAAGAGTTTTTTTCCCCTTTACTATCACTCTTCAAATTATAAGGGAAAAATGCAAATGTATAATCTTGGGAACCTAAGTGAGCATCTCAGAGAGTTTCTTATAAGCTTAACTACAGGTAAAGAGATATTTTTTAGGGGGGTGGGATTTTAGGTTTGAGTTTAATAGGTCACTTTCCAGTGATTTTAGGCTGATTCCTTCATCCTTTATAATAAGAAACAATGAGAAATAACTAGAACAAAGGAAAACTATTTGATAGATAGGTATAAAGTGATAAAAATTATAAATGAAAATAATTTAAGCATCCACTTTCTCACCATATTATCAGGACATATTTAAAAAAAGCAGGATATTTATCTATATACATGGAGGCATTCCATATTGTTGGAAACTATGTGAATAGCACCTTTTTACCTAATATATTCCTGAAATTCAACGATCCATTAGATTTCATGTATGCTACATTTCAATGACAGATATTTCCATGCAGTAGAACCATGACAAAACCTATGTCTAAATATTTTTTGTTCACAAGTCCACAGTTTAAAATTATTTTAAACAAAATTAACCATTTAATTTCAAAAGTGAAGTTGTAATAATATTAAAACATTGGCATCAGTGGGGAATATAGAGGGGGAACAGAGTATATATTCACTGTCTTCAGTTATTTCTTAATATAACAAAAGAAGGTAAATATATTTAACAGTAATCCAAATAAGAAATGAACAGAGAGACAGTTTGGTGTGCTGTTTACAGAACCTGGCTTGAAATAGGGAGACCTTGACTTCTAATCTTTCATTAGACATGAATCAAGTAGATGACTTTGCCTAGTCATACTTTTCCAGCTCTAGCAAGAAGGCAGTGGTAAGCAACTATTGAAAATCTTGCTAAGAGAGTTTCAGAGATTTGTGAAGGCAGTCAACTGGACTCAAAATTAAAGTTTTCTTCAGAACAAATGCTTGGATTTACTAATTGCTTCTCACAAACGATAACTATCCCAGGCATTTCTTCTTTTACTGGTTGGGTGGAATTACTGAGTAAGAACTGCTAGATATGTTTTCTGTATCTTTGGCCCTACCAAGAATGAAATATAAGTAGGCAAGAAAAAAAAATAAAGAAGGAATACCAACATCTCTGATAAGGCAGGTTCAAGTGGAAGTTGGATGAAGTCTATTTTCTTGCCATTCACAATAGACAAAGAAATGATACCTCCATAGATGAAATCTTCTGATTGTGAATATCTGTGAACTCTTGGTGGGGAATGCCATACCCTACATTTAGCATCCTGAGTTTGGCTCACAGTGTGAGGAAACAGAAGAAACAGAAGTATTAATGTCAATATGGGGAATTCAAATATGTCCTGCAAAGATAGACTCCTGTGTTCTCCCATTCCCTGAATTATTATGAGAATCTCTTACAGCAAAAATATTATCCTGCTCATTTTGGAATTCTAACCCTATATTCCCTGTATCATGACTAAATAGCAGGTATCAGTAATAATAGCACAGAAACCTTATATCTATTTTAACTACAATATTTATAGAATTCTTCCACCTCTGCTCTGTTCATAACATCTCCATTTCCCTTAGCTACTTTATTTATCTTTGATATATAATTAATATAGAGGAAAAGGACTATATTTCCTGCAAAATAGTATGGGGGTTTCACTGTACTGCAATTGAGAACTTTTTTGTGTGCTCCAGGATCCCAGGGTCCAATGTCCCCAGTGTCTTTTAAAATCATTAACCTGCCTCCCTGCTGTGCTGACAGCTCTGCCTCCTCCCCCTCCTGCCTCTCTGCTTCTTTACCTCCAGACATGCTGCCTTCTGCCTCATTACCTCCTATAGTAAAATTAAACATATATTTGCTGACCTCCCAAACTGTTAATGAGACCTTTCCCGTTTACCAAGGAATGACTGAATGTTTAAAGGAGAGAAGAACTTTCTTGTTTAGACAGGGAGCCTAGTCTAACTCCATAATATTTGTGTTTCTAGATAAGAATGAAGGAAAAATATTGCCAAACTGGTGGATCAGAAATATCTGTGCAAAACGAGTTGTGTCAACAGCTGCAACTTGCAATTTAAGAGGAAACCTTACAATGCCTGTTTCAATACAATCCAGAATCATGTGTATAAACCTGGTCATATTTTGTTCTTTCATCAAAGAGAAAAGTTGAGAAGATACTTTTAATTATTATGACATGCCTTGGACACCCCAAAGTTGGATTAGTGAACACACTCTTCATAACTCCGCCCCTGAAGTCCAACCACAAATTATAACAATCCAGAATTTGGTAGCTTATAGGATATTGTGTCCCACTCAGTTTGCCTATGTTAAACCATTGTTGTAACAGCTGCATTGGCTGCCAGCTTATTTCCTTACATAATGAAAGGAATGGTTATCAATTCTAATGCCCTAAACAGCATAGGGAAATGTTAGTTCCAAAACATTTTGGGAATATCTGCTCATTCGAACAAATTGGATAAAGTGGACATGCTCTATGACCAATTACTTAAACGTTGCCATATAGAAGTGCTTGGGAAACCTGCATTTTCCATAGCCGCCCCTGCCCTGAAAAACCTTCCATATGTCATCCATCAAGCTACACGCTCTTAACGTTGTGGAAATCCTTGAAGATATGCTTTCTTGGCAGGCATTAAGATACTGAGGACAGAAGCTTAACTGCATATTATGAATTGGAGGCATGAAACTGATAGATCTTTTAAGTTGTACTATTTGTACTTTTTAATATTATTGTTATCTAGCCAGGGATATTAAACCCCAATATACATTTCAGCTGTATTCACTTGCATACCTCTATGATCAGCAACCCCCCAAAAAAAAACCACAAACACAAAAACACAAGTAGATCTTGATAGATCTTTTCAGTTGTACTATTTGTACTTTTTCATATTAATATATCCCTGAACAAGACCACGCTGCAACCTGCCAAGGCTGCCAGATGTGATCATGCAATAACTCTGGGCGATTGCGGGCAGCAGGGTGGATGGGGGGAGCAAGTGAGAGGAGGGGGGCACAAGGTGTCAAGTGGATGCAGACGAGCACAGCACGATCATGAATAACACAGCTGATTGAGGGAGAACGAGGGGCGGATATATTACCCATTCTCTTTGTTGCCCTAATCACACCAGCTTCCCATCTCTCCCCCAATCCCACAGCGAGCCGCGTCTGTCTCTTCATCCCTCCACCTGCTAGGATCTCATGTTGCATCCCAGTCCCCTCCTATCCCCATCTGCCCTGCATGTAAGTGATGGTCCTTGTGCTTATCCATTCTGCCGCATGTGGCCACCCAACCTCACCACTGGATCACCCCTTCTTTCCCCTCATCTAGTAGCTTCGGTGAATTGCCAAGTAGTTCCATCTAGAGGAATTTCCTCTGTCCTACGTCTTGTCCTAATCACACCAGCCTATCGTCTCTCTCTTGATCCTACAAAGGGCCATGTTGGTGCCTCCATCCCTCCACCTACTGAGGTCTCATTCCCCTCTATGGTTGAGCATCTCAGATCACTCCTGTCTTCACTCATCCCATGTATAGGCAGCCCTTTTTGTGTTTGCTCATTCCGCTGTCTACGGTTGCTCAAAGTCATTGCAGGATCACCTCTGAACAACCGTAGACAGTGGAACGAGCAAACACAAAGAGGGCTGCCTAAGAATGATCAAAGAGCTTATGACTTTTTCTGTGACAAATTGTCATTGGTTAATCTGACTTAACATTAAAGCCTATAAATTGTGGCATGCACTAAAATGACAAATTTAGGCAGTGTTCTGTACAGCATATAGTAATTTTTGTATGTTTACATTATTTCTTGATCTGCATGGACACCTAGTATCTATATAGAATGTTTTTCTTTTTTTAAAAAAGAAAATATTCTAAAGTAGAAGGAGAACAAAGCAATTCATGATATTTATGAAAAATATTGGGAAAATATCTACTGCAGAGGAGAATGGAAAAAAAAGAGTGATGCCTCCTGGGCAGTATGGTTTTAGCTGTTGAAAAACTAGGATACAAGCTGAAGATAGCTGCAAGTCTCCTAGCCAAAACTCCCCCATTTTGCTTGTGCTGAAGCCTAGATCTAGGTGGGGAGAACATCTCTGAGACTAATATTATTGGGTTACCAGTTAATATAGATAAATCTTCTAGTAATCCTAATTAAGAAATGGTGAAAGCATGTTAAACAACTCTTTATCTTTGTCAGTTTTGCCATCTTGGCACCTTGCTGGCATCCTGCCATCAAAAGCTGAGAGGAAGGAGCATTGGGGGAGAAATGGGCAGTAAATATGTATGAGGATGTGATGGGAAAAAGAGAAGGGGGATGACAGCTTTCAAAGACCAGGGAATCACAAAACCACTTTATGCCAATACTCAAGGCCACAAACCCTGAGAATGGAATGTGGATTGCTTGAAACATCTCAGCAATTCTCAAAACACTTATGTGGGTGTACGTTGGCTGAAGACAAACTGGTCATGGTGGGATAAAGGGAAATATTTGTAGCCTTTCATGTGGGAAACTTAATTCTAGCCTGACTTTACTACAGCCAACTACTTTTC